AGAACAGTCTAATTGGTTCTATTGAAATCAGTGATAGCTCCTCTGCCACCCACACTGGCCAATTTAAAATCAATAAAACAAAACAGAAAAATTGCAGATCTTTTGACTCAAAAAAATAATAATATGAAAGGTAATCTAATTGGATAACAGTGTTCAATTAAAAGGTCAATCCTAATGTAACAAGAGAAAGAGTGTACAGTTGTGCTGGTAGCTTTAGGAGGCGATACTTTGGCTTTGAGCCTTAATGCTAACATCAGCATACTAACATAATCATAAGGACAATGCTAACATGCTGATGTTAAGCAGGTATAATGTTTACCATGTTCACTGTCTTACTTTATTGTGTCAGCATACTATCATTTTCAAATAAGTATGAAACACAAAGGACAGCAGAGGGTGAAAGCCAGTTTTAGTTTTGCAGGTCTTTGGTCATAAACCAAAGTATTGGACACATTTAAGTTTTGACCTGATAATGGCGCTAGATGAAAAGTCTGGGGATCATCAAAGTGATTAGAATTCATCCTGAGGGAACGGCTGAACCAAATTTCACAGCAATCAATCAAATAGTTGGTGAGACATTTCAGAAATACAACTGTAGAGGAGAAGTCCGGGGATCACAAAAGTCAGTAACATTCAATCTCTGAGACTGACTTGACCCCTGACTCACTATAAGTGGTCATGGGTAGGAAGCACAAGAGTGTAATGCAGAATCATCCATTGTATAATGTTTTTAAAGATCTGAAGAGCTCTTTTAGTGACCGGCTTGTTATGCCCAGGTGCTCTTAAGAGACATTCACAAAATCCTTTGTAGCTGCTGCGTTTTTTAATGAACATTGTTGATCTGAGGTTGTTGACCAGCACTCTTGTGTCCATGAACATCTTGATGTTAATATATCCACTATACTACAGTCACACTGCTGTTTGCACTATTTATTATGCTCTCCCCTTATTTTATACTGCCTCGAGATGTGTACACCTTTTCCTATTGTCCTATGTGTTGTCTGTCATATGTAATTTTGGCACTCAGCCCCCCCGAAGGATTAATAAAGTATTTTGTACAATATAATAACGTAACATGTCGTATTATATCATATTGTATTGTATCAGCACCATGAATGTCTGTACAAAGTTTTATAGTTTCATAAGATATTATGTATGCATGTTGGTGAATATGATAAATGTATGATACAGAGGGGTACAGAGCAACATACAGACACTATGTTGATGTCGCCGTATAGTGCACTTTGACAATAATAGTTTAATAGCATTGTTCAATTATTAAAGCTGACGAACATTCACAACAATTGTAACTAATGGTGGATTCCATATACTGTAACCTAATCCAGTTAAATAATGAGCTTGACTGGAAACAACCACCCTAAAAATCAATAAGGAACAATATAATATGATGCAATCCATTTCCTTATAAGGAGTTGGAAGGCTCTGTGTAGTATATTTGTGTGTTTTCTCTTTGTTATTTCACTGCTTTGAGTCAGTGTCAGCCGAAAAGGTCAGACACTGTGTTCTGTAATGAGGAGGGAAAATAATCACAGACTGGTCCTTCCCATTTGCCCACCCAGCATGGCATATTAGTGAATAAGGGCCTTACTTCCTGTAACAGGCTTGGTTCTGATGTAGGGGAAGAAAGTCACAGTGGCTGCTGTTACTTCCTAAATTGTGTCTCTGTTATTCCACCTATTCCCCAGTCACATCTGAAGGTTCACCCACAAGCTGTGTGTCAGACAGCAAAATGAGCCACCCACAAACCCCTCCCCTCACCCCATCTGGCTACCCAAACAACAGCCAAATAAAGGATGGCACAGAGGGTGCGCTAACTACACAATGAGTCATTATTTGGAAAAATCCTATTAGCACATAGGTCTGAATACAGGTCCACCTGCAGCAATGTAACAACACAAATTAATTTATAACCTCTATTTTAATAAATCATTTAGTCTGCTGTCATTGAGTCGGTGGCTGCTGGTGTGGGGTGACATAATTTCACCTATTTGCAGAACAAATTAACTTGTTTTAAGCATCATGTTCTGCACCTCTAGTGCAGCATTCTGCCTTATTGTGTCTTGTATCAAGACACTTTAATTTCCAGAAAATTAGATAAAAATTAACCTCTGTATAGGGAATAATTGGACCTATTTTTTCATTATTGTTTCATGTAAAACAGGTGATATACACTGAATATTACACTGTGAACCAGAATATATACATATTTATATATATATTATATATTATATATATTTGCATGTGGCACACTACTGAATTATGTTACATCTGCTCCATTATGTGTCCTATAATATTGGTCAGCACTGGCACAAAACCTGCTACTCTGGTAATGGCAGCCATGTTTGTGCATGCATGAAAAGTAATATCTAAGGTTTGTGTCTGCTGTTACTATATCTTGCCTCAGCTGACTGTCTGGTGTGCATCAATATATTTGTGCGTGTGTGTGTTTGTGTGAGTGTGTGTGTGTGTGTGCCCACATAGGAGTTTGCATAAGAGCGCATACTGTGTTATATTAGCTTTGTTAAACAGATAAGGAAGATTCCCCAGGTCCCACCTTATATACAGAAGCTGAGCTGTGTTTCACTTAACTGGTTGTGCACACATCAGCTGTAATGAGGGAGCCAGTGTAATGGAGAATAATCTAATCATCACTCCTGAGAGAACTGGACACACAAACGCCGATCCACACAACCCACACACATACACAGGCATTCCCATAAACACAGATTCTTGAAATTACAGATGCACAAATGGACACTGAATATTTTTGGGAATGCACAGACACACACACATCAGAGAGAGCTGGACTGCTCTCCCAGTAGTTGAATAATGCATAAAGAGGCTTGTTGCCACAAGGAAATGATAAGCCTTACTTCTCATGGTATAGAGGAGGTTTAATTATCCAGTCTCTGTGTAATCACATGGAAACAGCTTCCCACTCGTCTTTTATTAAGCCTTTTATAGCTTTTATAGCTGAGGGGGCACTCTTTTATGAATTATTGAACAATCTTGCAGTGCATATGTACATCTTTCAGCCTCACAGTAGCAAACTTTCTTAAAGGCAGGAGACTAAACAAATGACCTCCACTGGACTAGCTGCTCTCTTTCATGTGAGGAGTAGGAGCCAGGAAGGAGGCTGTTGTGTCATATGCTGTTTTAGGTCAAACACAGGCGGAATGCCTTAAAATAGATTTTTCTGTCTTTGTTTTGCTCTCTGGTGCTGCAAAGATGGGATTTGTGAAGAGCGATGTGTGGAAGTAAATGATGCTCTGGCTGCTATGCTTACATTTTACTGCTGAGCCACCAAACAGGCATTCCTCGCCAACAAATATTCAGTGTTTATACCAGTCAGTTCTGTTAAATCTGTTGTTGGGCTTTGGGAAAAAACACACATCTGTGAATAAATTTGATTTTTAGACAATGCAGAACAGACTGTATAATTCAAGTATTTTCTGCTCTTTTGTACAAGAACCGTTACATCACAAGTAGTGAGGTAACATATCTCGTACCACTCTTCTGTTACATAACCAGTTTCTCTCTGGTGGTATCTACCACAGGCTCAGGTGAGACCAGACAACATCATGAACAAGATAAAGCAATTAGACTTCCTGTTACCACTGAGATTCCGCAGCACTAACGTTGATGCACTAATGCTCTCTCTTGTCTCTCTGTTGATAATCTGCCAAAGTGTACGTATCAGCCCTGTCCCCATCCAAGTCGGGACAGCTTCACAAAACCACTCTTTCTCACATATAGTTGGAAACACTGCTTTGAAAATGCATAGCTTTTATGAGCTACCAGTTAATTCACACTGGATGATATTAAATTACAGAAAAGCTCCTTTCAAGGGAAATTATGTTTTCTTAACTAAGCTACTTAAAAAACAGTTCAAACTACTTTATAGTGATGTAATTGAATACGAAATTATACAAGTGAACTTTACTATTAATTATAACTTATGTTACAACATAAAATAATTATTTTGCACTGCAATAATGACCCAGAGATGGTCTCTATATGTATACTGCCTGGCAAAAAGTCCTTGTTATATCTTAATGTGCTGAAATATACAGGTATCTTTTTATTATACATGTGACTAGAACTTTTAATGGTTCAACTAGTACCCTATGATCGGACAGTTTTTGCAGTGAACCAGTCCAAAGCTCATTGATGCACGTGGGGAGCAAAGGCTGGCCCCTGTGGTCCGATCCAACAGACGAGCTACTGTTGCTCACATTGCTGAAAAAGTTAATGCTAGCTAGCTGATAGAAAGGTGTCAGAACACACAATGCATCACAGTTTTTATGCGTATGTGGATGCGCAGCTGCAGACCAGTCAGGGTGCCCAGGTGGTCATAGGAGGTCATGGCTGATCTTCATATTATTATCTTCATCATGTGCTGTTTTAACTGTTTGAGTTCCTTCTCTCTCTAAAAGGCGGATCAAAAATAACAATAAAGAACCAAATACTAAAAGCTCAAGAAATTACTTACTTTTGCTCATAGATAAAAAATATAAACCCGAATGGCAAATTATGCCTTAAAATGACAAAAATAAACCTCTAAAACACTAGCTGAATGTGGAATTGGCTGAACTGACCCAAAGCAACTGCAAAATGTGATTATCATGGGAACTCCTCAAAGTCCTCCTCTTTAGATTGTGGCAAATATAAGCCATATTTTCTTTCCCTCAGCTGCTGTGATTGCCCAATGGCTAGAATTTATTCCTTTTGAAAAATCCAAAATCAGTGACAGATTATGCGCAAAGCATTTCACAGCAGTGAAACCAAGTGTGGTTTGGGCCCCAGAAGCTTTTTTTCTCTTCCCATGTCTGTTATGGTCCAACCTGCTCAATCCTGAGCTGTCTCTCCTTGCCTGAACGACTTATTTCGTAAGACAAAACAGATTTGAAATTCATTCACATGCAGTGGAAACACTTCTCCACACTGCCTCTGGTCGGTTTGTGTGGACGTCTTTATACCTGGATGCCCTCTGTGCCGGGCTGCTGCAGTAGTTTGACGGTGCGTGTGTGTGCTGTCTTCTGGCCACGGCCGTCGTGCCAGGTCAGGTTGCTGCCTCCGGTGCGACGCGGCAGCTGGTAGCTCAGCTCCTCAGCAGACACCGTGTGCTCCAGGGAGGCACGGCAAAAACTGAAGCTGGACGCCGCTGAGAGGAGAAAAGTAGAATAAGAGGCGAGAAAAGCAGAGAGACAAGCAGAGGCAGAAGAACGAACACTGATAAGCACTCACTTTGTATTGTCTTTTTTTAAGGGGTTTGCATTGTCTATGAAGCAGCAACAGGAACACCAAAAAAAAACAAAATAAATAATTGGTAATCCTCTAAGAGCTTAACAGGCTGCGTTCACTCCAGATTACATGCTTTGTGTGCTGACACTCATACAGCTACAAACAGATGGCTGTTTTGGTGATGGTGGTGGGCAGCGGTGCTACTCCACTGTGATCTCCAATTATACTGAGTGCATATTCACTGACGCAGTGCATGATTTTTGGAATTGTGTCTCTTGCTAGATTAGTCCTTGATTATTTAAATCCTACATCATGAATATTTGATCCGTTTCTTCCCTCTCTCTGTCTGTCCTACTCACTCCTTTCCTCCCAGGACTGAGTGTTAGCTGTGAAGCAGGACAAGTTGTCAATGCAGGGTCAGAGTGCAGTTCTGTAAGAGCCACAGGGCATCTTGTGCAGTTCAGAAGATCAAGTTGAACAGGCTACTGTGCTGTGGTTTGTCGTCTGTGGCAGTGGGTTTATTTTAAATGGGACAAATGTGAATAATAAAAGAGGATTTGACTGCACATCAGCCAGACACAACAGGAAGGAGACAGTGGAAGGGAGCAGAAAAGGTCAAGAGAATGCATGAAAGAGAGCGAAGCAGAGAAAATACCCTTAAGTACTTCAGTTTTTAAGAAAACCTGATTTTTTTAAACATTGTGTAAACAAGAAACCCATTCATTAGAGGTCAAGAGAAATTAGATCTGGGTCAGAGAAACCTGATATTTAGTATATACAGGTTTCTGACATGTGACTTCAAACACACAAAGTCTTACTGTGACAGAGGAGGGATGAGCTAAAAGTTTATCACACATAGTATTTGTGACGAATCATTGTAGCCCAAATAATTCAGTCCAACAAAAACTGAACCTAGAATAAATGAGTTACAGTTGCACTCAAAGGCTCTTTCTCAGATCTTTTACAATCAAAAAGCACTCTATAAGGTACAGCATCCTACACCATTAATATACTTTGAATATGCCAGCGTCGGTTCAAAAATATGCTAGAGGAAAAAACATTACTATCACTAACAAGCTGCAGGGTTGCAGTGCACCTGAAGCGTTCTCCATTTTCAAACAACTGGATTTCTCCCAACAAATCCTCGGTTTTGTGTGCGCCTGTGAACACAGTCACTGAGACAGACACAAAGTTAATGATGGTAGAGCTAAAAGTAGAACAAGGCACAATAAATGTTGTATTCATTACTTTTAAATATGAAAAAAGTGTCTTTACTACAGAACAATGTTAGCGCATTCTTCGAGAAAATCCTCATTTAATCTCCTACAAATGACTTCTAACTTTCTTTTCCTCCCTCCTCCTTAAGGGACCAGATAAAAAAAAAAGAGAGATTGGATTTATTCGGATGTAGTATCTATTCTACAGTTATATAAGGTCTTTTCAGTGTGTTCAACCATTTGTCTGTTTATTATGTTGCTTTCTTAAGGTGATTTTTGTACCGATAGTCATATCTATGTCTATTCAACTGTCCTTTTATAGTAAGGAGTATAAAAGGACAGTTGAATAGACATGAAGATGTAACTAAGATATATGCTGTCAAAAAAATTAGAACAAACAAAACAAGTAGAACATGCCATTCCTTCCAACAGCAAGGGAAAACAAGCCTTACTGGACAATTCATTTTAGAATTGCACAACAGACCACTGAGACCTGCTTGTGGGAAAAAACACCTGGTTGCCTTTGAGAGGAGTTGGGGGGGAGGTAAAAAAACACTTTTTCTCAAACCAGGAGTCTGTTCAAGTGAGCAGTGCTGAATACAGAGTTCACACAGCCATGATGGAGGAATGAAAAAGAGGGAGATGAAAAACAACAAAAGGCCTGTCAGGAATCACTGATGTGTAACCTTTTCTGCCTCTCTCCCTTTGTATACTTTCTTTCTCAGCACTCCTGCTTTCCCCATTTCTATATGTTGATACTTCTGTATCTAGAAATATCTTTTCTTGCTTCCCTTCCTTTCCCTCCTTCTCTCTCTCTTTCTTGTTGTCAGGTCTTCGGGGTCGTCGGGACAAACCGAGCCCAGCCCTGATGTAATTACTGCCAGTCAGACTGAGGGGGAGGAGACAGGAGGAAGGAACGTGGGAAGCTAAGCGCCTTGCAACCCTAAAGACCTGCCAATCTCGCAGAAAGAGACAAGAGAAAGCGCAGAAGCAAGAGCAAGGCGGACAAGAAAGAGGGAGTGAGAGCGGTGCTGTAAATTAGCACCAGAGCCACACAAACTGACAATAAACTGATCAAACTGTAGCGAGGTAAAATAGCTCAGGGAGGAGGCAGAGAGACACCTTAATAGACCAAGAAACAACCTAATTTCACAAGCTGTTAAAGACAGAGCTTTCCAATTATTAGACAGAGACCACCCTACACTTTATAGACATCACGATGAAGATAAAGAAATGCAGCATCATGACTTAGTTCCACTGAAATCTCAATCTCTGCCACAGTGCCAGACCTTGCCACCTCCAGCAGTCATAAAACGAAGACAAAGCGCTCATTTTGCAAGCTTCAATGGACTCGGTCAGCTTAACCTCCTGGCACAGGATACGGCAGAGAATTTAGAATAAGCCAAAAGTGATTAAATATCCATACCTTCCAACAGACGTCTCTTTTGAAATGACATTGAAACATATGCATCTGCTGGTTGCTTTTAGAGTCATAAAGCCTTAAGATAATAGATAATACATTCTAAACGAGATTGAATGAGAGGATTTAGCTGTGTTCCTCAGTGCCTCTAAATGCATCTTTGCGTTCTGAAATGATTACCATTCTTTCCGCTCAGCAGGAGGGGTTATCTGTCACCCTTTCTTGTCTGTCTGAACATGCATTTGATCAGCCTGGACAAGCACCAAATCTCCTCCATCCTATTTGTCACTAACTGGTGTTGTATTATCTCTCGTCACCCTTGCCACTGACTTTTATCACCTTCAGTCGAGGAAGGGGAGAAAAGACAAGGGATGATGAAGGGAGGATGGAGAGGGGCAGGATGAAAAGCAAAAAGCATGATATGTGTCTCCTGAGTTTACGGTCAGTGAATAAAAAATAAATAAGAAGATATGATGTAGTAAAAGCTCAGGAATCTGTAATTCCAACCTCACATAGAGAAAGAAGGTGGAGGAAAAGAGCAAGAACTGTTGGTGGTAGGGGTGCCAAAATCAAGGGCAAAGTGTCAGACAGGTGTTTGTGTGTGTGTCAGTGTGTGTGCAGAGGGTAGGTAGGTCAATACGACTCAGCCCAGTGAAGTGTAACCTCATATCACCTCCTCTTGACTGAGCAGCATATCTGCTGCCCAGAGTGGCTGCTAAATCTCAGAGGTATTCCCTTTTGAAAAGGTAATTAAGCGGTTAGGTACAGCACCCTGGAAGGTCGTTCCAAGCCAAATCCCACAGTAGATTAACATGGCATCACTGGACATTACTCATTTGACTCCAAAAGCGAGCATCTAAATTAGCCCGGGTGGACTACTTTGCTGTGTAGGCTTTTTGTAGAAGTCTGATTTTTGCATAACCTTGGCATCAACTTCAGGAGTGTATGTGTATGTGTTTGCCTCTTGCATGAACGGTGAGGGAAGTGGTCTGGCTAATCCACTTTATTTCAGGCGTCACAGAGAGGGTGCCATGGTGCATTCCAGAAGCATGATATTGGCATCAACTCCCTCCCTGACAAGCACCTCTTCTTCCACTCAAAGATAAAGTTTGTATTTACAGTCCTAAAGTTTTATATGAAAGAGGAGAGAGGAGAAAATCACAGTCATCCTCATTCCTCTGTAATCTGCAAGGGGGTGAAACTTCATCATGCAGTGATTTCATGCCTGTGTAACACATTAAACCTGAAGTCCTAAATATAGCATCAAACAGACCAATGCTGCCAAGTCCCACTATGTCAAGTACATCAATCAATGATACAGATTTGTTGGTTCTATAGTATATTGGGGGTAAAGTGAGGGGCTATTTACAACTTTTCCACTCCACCAGACCCGGTCTTAACCCCAGGAATGAGCCATGAAATTACTCCATTTTCAAATAGCAGGGGTGGTAAAAGAAGAATTCAGGTTGAAGCTTTAAAAATAAATATAAAACCCAGGACCCCAGGGGCTTTTCCCATGATGCATTGCAGTCTATTACCCACTCTGACATGAGACACTGTCGCAGAGGCTCGGGCTGAGGTTTACCTCTCACAAACTATCAGCATCATGGGAACACGCAGATAGGGGAATGGGTGTAAACAATGGACATCCACAACGCAGACTGATTGAAGATAACAACACACCAACTCTCATCAGGACACAAACGAGGGAGCTGCCAACTAAATCTGTGTGTATGATTGTGTGCGTTAGCGAATACCGGCATGCTCATGCATACGTGAATGTAACTCATGATGCCAGCATGAGGACTCGCATATCCACACATCTGTATAATCCCTGTCTGCTTTCGTTTATGCCAGTGGATCAGAATAAAGCTGCAAAGAATCTGTATATGCAGCCATGTGGATGGAGGCTGAATGCTGGATTTTGAATGCAGGGCAATTATGGCTCACAATGCACAGTGCAGCCCAAAACACAGGTGGAGTTGGCATTTTTGTTATGATTCTGCCAGTCACTGCAGAGGTCCATCTGCACCCTGAAAGCACAGAGTAGAGAACAACAAAGGCAGGTCTGAGAAATACCAGGTCGACCTTGTCTTCCTCTCTTTGGGCAGAAACGAACTGGAGGGTCCAATGTTGAGGACCCTTATTCTCTAACTCTCCACTCTGGCCCCCACCGCACTTCCACAGAGACAGACAGAACTATTGATTATCCATCACTGTGTCAGAGAACATACAATTACAGATCGCTTTAGATAAAACACACAGGGAGGCACACAAACACAG